GCGCCGCCCCCCGGCCCTGTGCACCGTCCCAGCCGTGCGGACCCCGCGCCACCATGCCCAGGGCCAGCGCGCTCTGGGCCCCGGTTTCACCGCTGCTGCCGCCCCTGGTGCTGCTCCTGTGCGCGCTGCCTCGCGGTGCCGGGGTGCTGGAGGAGCGCGCGGACGCCGTCCCGGACTACGCGGCTGCGGGAGGCGAGGAGGGCGCGGACCCGCAGCCCGAGCGGTACCACGACCCGTGCAAAGCTGGTAGGTGCCGCTGCCTCCCGGGAAGTCCGGCAGAAGTTTGCCTTTGAAATGCAGATGAGGGGTGGACGAGCCTCTGCTGTGCTCTGTGGGGCGGGTCTCCCCCTGCCCCAGATGTCCCCGCTCCCCGGGAAAACAATGCCCCGGCGCTGTTTAAATGCTACCCCAAGTAGCGGCGTCCTGGGCCAGGTCTGCGGTCCAGTCCATCTGAGTGGCAGCTGAGCGAGAGTCCCGAAGCTACTGGGGTCGGGTGCCCGAAACTGGAGGGGGGCCCGTGGGTGGCACCGCCTGTCACCGCGCAGTCGGCCGGAGCCATCACTGGACCCCGCACACCAGAGCCGAGGGCTGGGCTGGGTGTGGCCCTCCAGGGCTCGCACAGAGCTGCAGAGTCCGATTTCACAGCATTTATAAGTTCTGTGAAGTTTCCCAACATCTGCAGTTACTCTTGGGAGAGGACTTTAAGAAAAAAGAAAAGCTTCACAGTCGGGAGAAGGAAAGGAGGTCGCTAGGGAGAATACACCAGACTGGAATTGCCGCAGGCTCCCCGTAGTCCGCAGTTAGTCCTGGCTGGGGGTCGCCCTGAGCCCGGGAGATGGAAGACGGCAGGTGCTCTAATCCCGCCAGGAAACGTCGCCCCAGGATGCAGCCTTTGGGCACAAATTGCGGCCTGGGAGTGGCAGCTTCCACTTCCCGGAGCTACCCATCCCGTCCCGGATAGCGGCTTCAGAGCCGGAATCCTCCAGGCGTCAAGTCCTAGAAGGGGTGCCGCGCAGGTTCCAAGGCTTCTCCGCGGCCGTTCTGAGCTGCGCTTTTAGAGGACTGCGCCGCCACTTCTGGCTGTTCACCGGCCTGGCAGGGTGCTGCTTGTTGCTGGGCTTTGTCCAGCCAGCCTTACCCAGCGGCCAGCAGAACTGACTGGCAAGGGACCCTAGCACAGCTTTGTGTTCAGAAGGACAGCGTGCTTCCGGTGCTGTGGTGGGACAGCTTAAACCAGCGCCCCGTTCTCTCCCTTCGTGGACACTTTAATCAGCCTCAGTTTCTTCATCTCTAAATTGGCAAGAGAATAGTAGCACTCACATGATTCATGGGAAAATTCTATGCCAGCGGTATAATGAGAGTGGTGTGATGGTTTGCTGTGGCTGCAGTGGCTCTAGGGTGGGACAGGAGGAGATGGGTCAGAACTGAGTGAATCAGGAAGGTGTGAGGACCCAGGGAATTTGGGAGACCAGAGGAAACTGTGAAAGTGGAAAATCAAACCAGGCGAAAGGGGTCTAGGCCTACCGCAGCAGATTCCTGCAGCGTGCATGCACTGATACCCTTTGTGTGGGCCGACAGGTTGGTCCTGGGCAATGCAGGTGGACGGCAGCAGTACTGTGCCCTCAGCGAGGCACCTTGGTTCCTCATGGGAGCCCACTCACTGCCAACAAGGGTCTCCAGAACGCAGCTAGCTTTGTGTCCTGGTTCTGGAAAGAGGAAACTGATGCTGGGAAAATGGGGTAGGGATTGATCGACCACCAGCTGCCCTGTCAGATCCTGGACTCTGCCAGGCGGGAGCTGGGGCCTCAGGAGAAGCAGCTGGGCCCCCGAGGGTGGAAGAGATTAGTTTGCTTAGGAACAGACTGCAAATCCCGAGGTGAGAGAGACACAGATCTATGAGCACTTCTTTGCACCCTGGTTTCAGTGGAGGCAACCTAGAGGCAGGGCTTGCTGTTGGACTGCATTTCTTCTCATTGTTTTGGAGAAAATGCTGGATAACCAGGGATGTGCATGCGCTGGGACTATGTGCAGACCAGATGGGATGGGCAGGCAGGGATGGAAGGTAGAGAAAAGTAAGTGTGGTTTCCATCACCTGTATGCGTCCTCCAGAACCACCTTGTGACCAGCCTCTCCCTCTGTACTCTTCCTCTCTGGGCTGTGTCATTGCTTAGAATGGCCAGAAGAGGGCAATGGCAAGGGAGACCTGGGAGAAGGAAACATCTCAGTCTGCCCATCCTCCTGGAAATTTCCTGACCGCACAACTGTGTAGAGGACCAATAGCAGCTCACAGTGCATGCCTCTGCCTAGCAAGAGCTTCACTTCCTCACTGCATATTTAAAGCCAACCTTTAGGAGCAGCCCCGTCCTATCTCAGTCAAACCCTAACTCCCAGGCTTCTCCAGCCAGATGCCTACCTCCTACTGCCTTGGGGCTTGTGGCCTAAAACACTTGTCTCTTTTCCAGCGTGGGTCTCTCTTCTGCTGTGGATCCGGAATGCAGGGAGAAGTCTTGGATCTGTTTTCAGCCTCTCCTAACTGTGTTATCTTGGACAGATGCCCTCTTCTCTGCGCCTTAGTTCCTTCTCTGTAGAATGAAGATGTTGCACTATTTATATATTCATTTAATTTTTTGTATTTGGTGCAGGATCTCACTATGGAGCTAGGACTCATAGTGATTCTCCTGTTTTCAGCCTCTCCAGTCCTGGGATTACATGCGTGCACCACCACGCCCAGACTCGGGGACTGACTCAGAGCCCTGCAGCACATGGCGCTGGGGATGGAACCCAGGTCCTTGCACTTGCCTAGGCAGGCGCTACTTAGTCCCCTGAGCTATCTCCGTGGCCCTGTTGCACTATTTAGGATGGAAGTAGGCCCAAGGAACTCATTCTTTTGGTTCACACCGGCTGTCTTGCTCTGGGCCTGTCACACCTCACTGGCACTTGTGTGAGCCCCACACTTCTTCCTATTCAGTGTTGCACGGTTTTGTGACCTTTGGTTCTAGCCCAGCCCTTCAGAGGCTGAGCAAATTAGCAAGGGTCCTGCTGTTTGCATAGTTATCATTTACCACTTCATGTTTTTTTCTTTTAATCATTTTCATCACTTTACAATTTTTCTCACATACCTGTCATTTACAAATTACAGGACCTTGGGCAGTCTGCACCTTTGGATCCAATGACTCGATAAAGCAGTTAAAGCAGTGCCAGACAAGGCGTTTTTATAGACAGATTTATAGACTGGTGAAACACCTTCATCCTGACCTTTTGAAGCAGATTTCAGGCTGTAATTTTAAGTTTACTAATAGATAATTTATTTGATGCTGTAAAGAAGAATGATTTTTAAGTCAGACCTTTGTAGAGGCGAAGTCAACTGTGAAGCCCTCCTGGCCTGGGGTTGGTGGGGTGTGCTGGGCTGCTAGGGCCACATATGGTGGGCCATGTGTCTGCTGATTTGTTCTTCCTCTGGTACTTAGTGCAGCCAAGTATAGTGGCTCCTTGGTTCACAAATGCTTTTTCTTGTGCACAATTTGGTTCATAAACAGAAGCATTTGGTGAAATTTTGGGTTTGTCTGTGAGCTCTATCTACATCGGGTGAAAGGCATGACTGTGGCCAACTGTTCTGCATGAACTCGAACGTGGCCATCTTTCCAGAACTAAGGAATAAGTGAAGTTCATGAACTGAGGTGCTGCTGTACTGTGCCTCCAATCACAAGGCGCCCTACCCACTCCTGGGTCTCTGGGAGCAAGCCTCAGAGGATTCCTGCCTGCCTGCCCTCAAGTATAGCTCTCTGGCTGGATTCGAGCAAGGCCCAGATTCTTATCCCGATGCAATTCTTACTTTCTGTGTGGCTGTCAGCGAGCTATTTTACCTTTCCATGCCTCAGTCTCACTATCTGCACCACCATGGAGGGGCAGTAAAAACACGTGCCTTGTAGGTTGGATGTGAGACCAGTTGTAGTTGAATTCCTCTGAAAACAGGGCCAGAGACAAGGATTTGTGTGCAGAGTGCATTTGGAAGGTGATCCCGGGAAGCAGGGGTGAGAGAGAAGAAAGGAGGAAATTTCATGAAGGGGAGTAAGGTCAAGGGAGCTGCTTTCAGCCTAGGCTTAAGGCTCAGCAGGATCTCGGAGAAGGTTACACAACTGTCCAGCCAAAGCACAGGAGGCTGCAGCATTGTTTGAAAGTTGCTGTCCTTTACTGTTTGCGCTCTGCTCCTGCTTATGTTCCTGTGTGAGAAATCACACCCAACTCAGTGTCGTGGAGTAGGAATTTGGAAAGGAGAGCAGGGGTGACTTATCTGGCACCTGTAGACTGAGCCTGAGCTAGGAACACTTGCAGGCTGCAGTCACTTGAGGCTCGTTGTAAGACTCGTGTGCCTGGTGGCTGAAGCTGGCTGGTGAATGGTTGGACGGAACAACTACAAAAGGTCTCTCCTTTGGCCTCTCCCTGTGGGATAGTTGGATTCCTCGTAGTAAGGCAACTGGACTCTAAGTGGTTCCAAAAGAACCAGATGGAGGCTGGAGCACCTTTCATGGTCATGCTGTAGACTCACACTTTATCACTGTTATCATGGTCAAAAGGCAAGACAACAGAGACTCACTGTTTAGCGGAAGCGATGTCAGTCTTCCTGCAAGACCCAGTGGAATGGTAGTGATTGCTGGAGCCCATTTGGGGAAGTATGCTCTGTGACACTTCCCAAAGCAGTAACTGGAGATCAGGCATACTGGGCTCTGCAGACTGAGAAAACCTTTTGAAAATATCAATATAGAGAGCCATGAAGCCAATGCATGGAGTTTCTCAGGGTTGAGCTGAAGGTATGTGACTCAGGTCACCAAAATTGCCAATGTGAGGCTCCGATGAAAATGCTTGTGTGGCTTTTTGAGTTTGTTAAGTCCAAGGGAATGAGTGGGGAACCAGCTTTCTTTTTCAGCTGGTGACTTGGGAAATGCCAGTGTCTTCCTTGTAGCTGTGAGTGTGGAGTCAGTGGCCCTAATAGCCTAAGGCCAGAAGCCAGTGCTAAGAGCTACAGCCCGTGAAGTGGCTCTTCCTTCATGAAGATCTTTGGCTTTGTCCTCACGTTTTCAGACCTTACTTGTGCCTGTAGAAGTGTTTCACTTCACCTTGTCAGTCTGGACAAAGCATCTTACTGTTCAGGCTTTTGGTCCCCCAGGGCACTTGCTCAGGCAGTTCTTGCCAGCAGCCTTCATGTCACGAATGTGATGCTAAAATGTTAAACTTCACAAATTCAGGGA